ACCAACGAGGGAGATGTATTAAGGTTTTTTAGTTTACTCCCCCCTAACACAATGACTTTTTAAAAAGGATTTCTTGAGATATAATTGAAATACTGAAGTACTGTACAATAAATTGAACATACTTAAAGTATACAATGTGGGTTTGGCACCTGTAGCTCAGTGGTTATGGCGCCAGCCACATACACTGAGGCTGACAGGCTTGAACCTAGCCTGGACCAGCTAAACAACGACAACTATAGCAAAAAATAACTGGGTGTTGTGGCAGGCACTTGTAGTCCCAGCTACTTGGGAGGCTGAGGCAAGAGAATCACTTAAACCTAAAAGTTTTAGGTTGCTATGAGCTGTGATGCTATGGCACTCTAGGGAGAAATAGTGAGCTTCTATCTCAAGAAGAAAAAAGTGTACAAGGTGATAGAATCTATTTGGTCTTTGTCCTCATTCCTGTCACAGAGCTTCAAAAACTCTTGGAATTTCCCAAGTGAGAGTGTCTGTTATACTAATGAGACAACTCCAGGGAGGGCCTCTAAGTTAACTTCTGAAAAGAATAAAGAGATTTTATCAGGCCTACATCTTAAAACCCTTATAGAAACCTCGGGATACAAAGGCTCAGTAGAGCTTTCTAGTTAGTTGGTGAATACTTTTTGGGAAAGTGCCTGGAACAGATTCCTTAGGAGGGTATGGAAGCTAGTCCTCTTCCCCCACCCAGAGACTTTGACTTAACATATTTCTTCAATTTGGCTGTTTGGGTTACATCCTTTATAATAAAACTATTACTATATAAATGTGGTGTTTTCAGTGAGCTGTGTCATTCTAGCAAATTATTGAACCGGAAATTTGCCTTTTAACTTGTGATGTCTGTGCCAACTTTGCGTAGTGTCAGAACTGAATTGCATTGTATGATACCCATTTATTTGGATTCAAGAATTACTGTCAGGATCTAATTTGACAACTTGAGATATTTATACATCGCTGAAGCCATCAGCATGATGAGATAGTGGCTTGGCGCCTGTGGCTCAAGTGGCTTAAGGCACCAGCCACATACACCTGAGCTGGAGGGTTTGAATCCAGCCTGGGCCCACCAAACAACAGTAATGGCTGCAACCAAAAAATAGCCAGGCGTTGTGGTGGGTGCCTGTAGTCCTAGCTACCTGGGAGGCAGAGGCAAGAGACTA